TGTTGCTGGCTGTAAGGCATAAATCATCAATAAAACATAGTGTACACTGAGTTTCAGAAATGGAGGGATAGAATACAAACAAAGGAAAATATTTTGAACCTTTGTCAAACACAAGTGGAACGTTAACACGACTATTTGTTCAATTTTGGACACCACATTTTGGAAGGATGTCGAGTGTTCAAGAGGGTACAGAAAAGATTTGTGAGAATTATTCCAGGAATTATTCGCTCAGAATCATGTAGTCTGGACAGAGCAAATGGAGAGAATGTGTTCCTGTCAGAGGAAGGGATTGAGAACTAAAGGACAACAGTGACATAGGGAAAAGCTTTGTACATGGTGGTTATAGTCTCAAATGCACAGCTTGAACATAATTTTGGTAGATTTAACTGTGGTTTTCAAAAAGAAATTGAACAGCACATGGAGAAAAAATTTACAGGGCTGATAAGAAAAGATGGAAACTACATGAACTGAGTTGCTCCTGTTTCATTTAGTTAGCATGGACACAAAGAGCCAGGTGTACCCTTTCTGTTATGTAAACATTGCATGATACTACCTGCGACTGAAGTAATCTGGGTCTTTGACATGAAGACCTATGTGGTGTTAATATGTATGTGTTGCTTTCAGTGCTGCTCCCAAGTTTTATGTTCAACTTGGAGATGTACAATACTGACTCATTAGCCAAACGAGTATGATATTTTCTGGCCCATGTTTGAGTTATTACCATGAGACGTCATGGAGTGCAGAGTTGACGTTGAGGAATCCTAGCCTGCACTTTCTCAACTGTATACTATGAATTTCTGAAGGAAAGATAATGTCTGGGATAACCTAGTTGATTTTTGTAAAAAGGTCACTGGCATGGTGAGTAACAGTTCCATGGATGTTGTGTATATGCAAATCCAAATGGCATTTGCAAATGTTCAGACCAAGGTTTATTGGGGAAAAAAATGTTCATGTGGAATTTAAGGTAATCTTGTGATGTTGGTTAGTAATTCGTTGGGATGTAGGCGATGAACAATAGGGGTAAAGAGTTTGCTCTCTGATTGGTAGAATGTGACAAATGGTGTTTCTAAGAGATCTGTAGTGTGGTTCATAATCCAGTTCATAATTACTCTGATTTAGAATATAACACTTTTAGGAATCAAAGTTTTAACTGAAGATAAATGGAGGCATCCAGGTGAGAGACTGGTAAACACAACTCTGATGTAAGTGCAATTCAGAAAAGCCAGGTAATCTGCTTATTCAGTAATGATGGAGTTGGAAGTGGGAACACTTGCACAATGCATGACATATGACTAGGCTTGTTGTAGAGCTAGAGGCTTTCCACTTAATTCAAGAAAATATTTAAATTATGTATATGGTTCCCAGATGAAAAGAATTAATCAACAAGGGAGCTCCCTGATGGGGTCTGAAATTTTGGAGAAAGAGGCATAAACTCCATGAGCAATAAAAAAAATTCATATTGGTTACAGAATCAAATAATTTTTTTGGAAGTTTACTTAGATTTTTGTTTAAGAGCATCCCAAAGTGTGCTAGATTGTCTTAGAAATGGATTGTTCTTTTATTTGGTTGTTTACTCAGAAAATGGGCAATTGCAATTATGTATTAGTGTAAACTGCATCTCACTGGATTGAGTGAGCCAATAGGGAATGACTTTATCAAATTTACACTTTAAGCAGAAAAAGTGCAAACATTATCACTCACCACACAGAAACTGGATGGGCTAATAATTCACGAGGTCAAAACTGCTGACTGAAAAAAATCATCCAGCTGCTTAAAGAAGAAAGCTACAGTTCCTCAGACAGTCAGAAAGCAGTCAGCAGAGTTATTTTAAAAGCTGAGAGAAGGCAGTTGAATATCAGTCATGAACCAGAACAAAGAGTTGAGGCATCAGAATCATGAAATATTAAAATTAAAGAGTTACTTACCTTAAAATCCTGAGACGTTGAAGAGAGTTAAAGTGAATCCCTTATGACATAACTTGTGGATTGGTCTGTATAGAAATGTTTTTGTGTAGGCAAATTCTTTGAAATATATTCATTCATATTATGTGAAATCTAATGACAATTCTACCAACTGATTATGCGATGCTGAAATCTGTCTCTTTAAATGTTAATGGTCCTTAACAAGTCATGCTTTGATTGTCCAGGACCTAAGTTGGTGCCAATCTGCAGTATTGAATTCAGCTTTAAGTTCAAAAATGATATATTAATCTTGGAAGGGATGTCTGTGCAAATTTGCTCATCTCATGCTTAGGGCTTTACGGGTTAACTTGTCCAAATTTGATTTGTATTTCCTTGAGTTTAGGTCATTGAAAGGTGTTTTCGTTGAGATGTTTAAAATGATAAAGGGATTCCATTAGGTAGATCCAGGAAAACTGAGACCTTTAAGTTTCAAGATTGAGATCAGTAATTTTTTGATTGGATGAGGCATAATGATGTATATAAATGGAATTGAGGTATAGATCAGTCATGATCTAATTACATGGCAAATAACTTGGAGTTAACGAATAGGCTACTTCTATTTCTGTCTTCCTGTGGTACCTGGCTGATATTGGAAATCATCTTAACTGAAAGCTGACATATATTTCTCCAAATTGAATTTGATTAAAGAATTATATGTGGATAAATGTAAGGTGATGCATTTGGGTAGGACAAACGGGGCAAAGGAATACTTAATGAAGCACTGACAATCAGAGGCCTTGGTGCTCATGTACCTGATCCTTAAAGTATCAGGACAGGTGGATATAGTGGTTAAGAAGGCATATGATATACTTGCCTTTATTAGTCCAAGGCACAGAGTTTAAGAGCAGGGACGTAAATTGTTGGTTGGCCAAAGCTAGAGTAATGTGTGCAGTTCTGGAATCCACATTATCAGAAGGATGTAATAGCATTGTGGAGGTTGCAGACGAGATTTACCAGGATGTTGCCTGGGCTGGGTATTGCAGTTAAGAAGAGAGATGGGAAAGATTGGTGTTGATTTCCTCAGAGGAGATTAAGAGGGAACATGACTGAGATGCGTAAAATTATGGGGGGTTATGTAGGGTAGACAGGAAGGAACTTTTCTTGATGGAGGTATAAGCTAAGAGGTAGGAGGTTTAGAGGAGATTTTTACCTAGAGTGTGGTGGCAGTCTGGAACTTGCTGCCTTTTAGGGTGGGAGAGGCAGAAACCCTCATCATTTAAGAAGTATTTAGATGGTCATTTGCCATGCCATGGCATTAAAGGCTTCGGGCCAAGACCTGGAAAAAAGGATTAGAATAGTTAGTTGTTTTTGACCAGAGTGACTGAAGGGTCTTTTCCTATGCTGTAGATCTCTATGACTCTTAATACTTTTATTTATTTTCCACATTTGAAAATTGGCACTGATTGTTAAGAACTAAGTGTAGAATGTTATAATGCGAAACCGAGTATCATGATGATTGGTTCTGTTCTAATTTCGTTGGAGGTTGCAGTATCATAACTTTCATTAATGCAGCAGCCATATGATTAAAGCTGTGACAAACAACTTCAGAAAGAATTGTTACTGCATATTTAAAGAACGTTTTTCAAAGTAATTTGTGGATTTATTTTGGGACACCAATACAGACAGCCAAATCAAATCAACCTCATTATCTCTGTAAAGTTAAAATGTTCAATGACCCTCAAAATTGATCCCAGTCATCCCTATGAGACTTCTTGAATAACCAGTACTAGATTTTGTGAATAACTGATACCAGACAACAAGTTTATAGCTTCAACAAAAGATTTAATAATTTATTAATCATATAGTATCTTTAGCAGAGCAAAGTTAAATCATAAGGTAATGTAACAAATATCCATGATTTAAATCCAGTCTTCTTTAATTCAAGGCCCCCCACCGCCAAAACACACACAGACAAACCGACACAGTTAAGGGATGAATCGAAGGAGAAACAAATGAAGGACATGTAACTGACCAGTTCACTTAAGCTGTTTCCCTGATCAATAATCTCATAGGCAAATGTGATTGCATCTTGCTTGCTTTCTGGCAACACCAATGTATGCAGATAACTTCCAGTAGACTCTGAGGAATATTTATTAAATTCTTACAACTGAGATTCTGTTCTCTGCACTTCCAATAAATTGATAATGAGGGGACAACCAGGGCACAATCAAACCTCTGTCCTGTACTTTCACAAGTACAATCCTTCAGAAAGGTTTATGGAGCATTCTTTGAATAAGAATTCACCTGCAATTAATTCCCAGACCTGGCCTCAAAGCAGAATCAGTTTGTTTATTCTGTTTTTTTTTTGAAACAAATTGCTGCATACTGTCCAAAGGTCCCCTTAACTTTCCAGCCCTCAGTTCACAGCTCCAAACCAAAAATAATTAAAAAAGAAATCAAGGACTCAACATTGTACAATCTGATCCAGCTTGGCCTTCGTGAGACTCTAGATTCTCAGAAATGTGGTTGACTTTTAATAGTCATTAGGAAAAGCCTTGCAGGCCGCTAAGTTCAAGGATATTTAGGGATGCATAACAAATTCTGGCCTTGCTAAGCATCACCCATGTGCCATGAAAGAATAAATTAACCAAGCATGTCACATAAAATGGTTTGCATGGCTCATGTGCATTGGTTGGATAAATTTACACAAGAGGCTTGTGTTGGAGAACTTTCAAAGATAGTTGTAATCTCAAGGTAACTCACTTTCTGAAGACCACAATAATGTAATTACTATTCACTCTTGATAATCATCTTTCAGCAGAAATACAGTAGGAGTAATCATTTAAAAGCAATTAATGTAAATACAATTTAGTTTAATGTCAAAAATAATACCAACCTGGAAATCTTTTGCTTTGCTATTTTTAAAAAAGAATCCTATCTGAATGGATATTCTCTTGATTAAAAGTGCTAATTGAAGTCAATGACTTGCAGAGGTAATATTTTTATTGTTCAAACTGATGAGCTGAATTTCATTTCCATACTGTCATTGTCACTTTTTAATGTATGTTATCATATTTTAACATTTACTTTTTTAATTAGATTGCCAGCAAAAACTCCTTGGAGTTTGTAAGTAATTGTTAAGTGACTGCATGATGCTTTTACTCTGTTTTTCATGAGAATGAATTTAATCATTCGTGGAACATCTTCTGTGCAGTTTTCATGCAGTTCACAACGCATGCTGTGATTTTCTACTGCATTAAGCTACTAGACCTCAAATTTCATATGTATTTTCTGAGTATAATCCCTTAATTTAGATTTTTCTCTTGAAGAATAATGCAGACAAAACTGCAATAATTAAACACAGTTTTAGCATTCCCAGAGATGTTTCTGTTATATGTAATTCTGACACCAAGACAGTAATATTGTATATAGAGTTATTGTAATTAGATGCAAAAGGGATAGGCATGAGTGGTAAATTCAACAGTGCTTCACTTCCTGCAAAGAACCAAATTAAAGCAAAATTGGAGATGGGCTACAGTGTTGTAACTGCAACTCTTGCACTTTGAATGTTACATTATTTGTAGCAAGATAAGTAAAATAGCTCCAGAAAATTTTGAATGTACTTCTTTAAATGATACCATTGGGTCTACTGTACCTATGATGCCAAATGTTAAATATTAGTGCAATTTTGTTTTGAAAAAATTAACGTTGATGTCTGTTACAAATGAGTATTTGGAATTAAAAGCTCATTTCAAAAAAAAATTTGAGAATCACGTCTTGGGCAGTTGTTTATTAAATCTGAATGTACAGCTGTTTTGTTTTAAATGTTTATTTCCAAAAAGAATTTTCCAAAATTGTTACTCTAGTCCTAATATTTTGATTCTCCCTATTCTCACGTGCGCTATGTGGTGATATTATCACAGATCTTTTTTTTTTATAACTGTTGCATTCATTTAGATTTGTTTCCATAACATGTTTAAATATCCACAGATTCTGTTTGAACAGTAGAAGCACTACCTTTAAATGTTTGATTCGGACATGTCTAAACTTGCTCAGCTTTCCTCAGAAACCTAATGGCAGCAATCAAGTAACCTGCAGTTTTAGCACTTCCCAACATTTTTCACATGTCTGCATGACAATTTTTCTGCTTTTTAAATTATCTAATTAAACTGAGCTTCCAAATTTCTATTCTTTTGCATGAAGGTATATTTGTGGGTTTAAATTAACTATGAAATTTTCTGTAGGCGTTAACATTGAAGTATTTATAATGTGAGGAAATAAATCATTTACACGAGGAATTTCACAAGCATATGAAGAACTATAAGTACTATTTTTAGTTGAGTTCAGTATGTCCTTGTAAGAATGTCGACTGGCTATTTTTATGCAATGCCCTTATTGTGATTGAATCTGAAAAAAATCAGAAACGTATGTTATTTGTGTGGTAGTTTTTTTAACAAGAGTTTTTATTTTACAGCTTATAGAGGCTACTGGGCACAACTTTGAGGACTCTGATTCAGCAGCTCCAAAGAGCCCTTTGCATTTGGCTGTAAGCTTATTATTTTGATTTTGTTGGACATTGTAAAACATGGGCATTCAGTATGATATTGCTCCACTTCAAAATTGTTCACATGTTTTATTCTCAGCTTTGATTTATTTTTTTCCCCTTTAGGCTTACAACGGTCATCACCAAGCACTTGAAATACTTATTCATTCCATTATTGACCTTGATGTAAAAGACGCAAATGGACGGACAGCCTTAGATTTATCTTCCTTCAGAGGTCACACTGAATGTGTGGAAGCCCTTATTAACCAAGGTGCTTCCATCTTAGTGAAAGACAGTGTGGCGAAGAGGACCCCACTTCATGCAGCAGGTACTTCTGATACCTTGTACTTTTCAGTTGTTACTGTACAATTAGCATACATAAAAACAAATTTTTGGTGTAACCTAGAGAGAGGTAATGACTGTAAGACATAGAAACCGAAGTAGACTATTCAGCCCATCGAGTTTCTTCTGCCATTGAACGAGATCATGGCTGACCTGATAATTCTCAACTCTACTTTTCTGCGCCATATCCCTTGATTCCCTTACTGATCAAAAATCTATCTCAGCCTTGAGTCTGGGTCATTGAGTATATTCAACAGTCCTCTGTGGTGAAGAATTGCACAGATTCACTACCTTCTGAGACAAGAAATTCCTCCACATCTCTGTCTTAAATGTGTGAATCCCTTCAATATTTATGCCCTTTGGTTCTAAGCCCTTCTACTCTGGCAGGCTTAAAAGTAAATAAATATCCAGGGCAAGGTGAAATGTATCCTAGGCTGTTGTGAGGCAATGGAGGAAATAGCAGGAACAATGGCAATAATTTTCAATTTATCTCTGGCCACAGGAGAGGTGTTAGAGGAGTGAAGGACAGCCAACATGAAACCATCATTCAAAAAAGAGCAAGAAAAAAATCAGGAAACTTTAGGCCAGTCAGTGTAACCTCAGTGGTGGGGAAACTATTGGAAGCAATTCTGAGGGGAAGAATTAATCTGCACTTGGAGAGGCAGAGATTAATCAAGAACAGTTGGCATGGTTTTATTATGAGGAGGTCCTGTCTGACCAACTTGACTGAATTTTTTGAAGAGGTAACCAGGTGTGTAAATGAGGGAAATGCATTCAACGTAATCTACTCTGATTTCTGCAATGTTTTTAATAAAGTTCTGCATGGGAGACTGATGTAGAAGGCATGAGCTCATGAGATCCAAGGAAATTTGGAGAATTCGATACAGAATTAGCCAAGTGGCAAGAAGCAGAGGGTGATGATCGAGGGTTTTTTGTAACTGAATGATGTATCCTATGGAGGTCTGCAGGGAACAGAAATGGGGCTGTTGCTGTTTTTGGTATGTATAAACAATCCAGATAAAAACAAAAGACTTAATTGTAGGAGGATGATCAGTAAATTTGCAGATGAAAATGGAAATTGGTGTGGTGGTATATACTGAAAAGGATAACCTTAGATTACAGGAGGATATAGATTGGCTGGTCAGATGGACTGATCAGTGGCACATGGAATTCCATCCAGATAAGTGAGAGGTGATGTACTTGGGAAGAACAAACAGGTCAATAGAATGCGTGATAAATAGTTGGACCCTGGGAGGAGCCGAGAATCAGAGGGGAGTTGGTGTGTATACCCTCTGGTCTCTTAAAATAGTGGGGCAAGTAGCCAAAGTGATTAAGCAGGCATAAATGATACTTGCCTTTATTAACCGAAGCATTGAGTTTAAGAGCAGGGAGGTGGTGCTGAAACTGTATACAATGTTGGTTAGGCACAGTTAGGGTGTTGTGTGCAGTTTTGGAATCCGCATTATAGGAGGGATGTGATAGCACTGCAGTGGTGCAAACGAGATTTACTAGAATATTGTCTCAGTCAGAGTGTTTTACTGAGAAAGAGATTGCACAGACTGGGGTTGTTTTCTTTGAAGCAGAAGATGCCGGCGGGGGTGGAGGTGACATGATTGAGATGTATAAAATTGAGGGGCATAGATAGGGTAGACAGGAAGAGATGGTGGAGGAATCAATGACTGGAGGCATTAATTTAAGGCAAGGGACAGAAGATTTAGAGAGGATGTGAGGAAAAATTGTTTCACCCAGAGGGTGGTGGGAAATTGGAAACACCACCTTAGAGGCAGAAACCCTCAACATTTTAAAAAGTATTTGGATGGTCACCAGTGATGCCAAGACCAGTAACCAGGATTAGAATAGTTAGATGGTTATTTCTGACCGGCACAGCCTTGAAGAGTGACTAGGCATTTTTCTGTGCCGTAGACCTTTATGGCTTTATGACAATGACCAGAAAAAACAGCTCTTCTGCAGCTACGTTGCTAAGAATCTTGTATATTTCAGTAACGTCACCTCTCATTCTTCTATATTCCAACGTGTACAGGCCCAATCTACTCAGCCTTGCCTCATAGCTGGTACTGAGGGACTAACTTATCAGCCTGGTGAACCTTCCCTGGACTGCCTCCCATGCCAGTATATTTTTCCTTCGATAAGGAACCCAAAACTGTCTGCAGTATTCCAACTGTGGTCTGACTAATACCTGTATAGTTGTAGCAAGCTTCCCTACTTTTTTATTCCATTTCCTTTGAAATAAAAGCTAATATTTGGATGTTAGCTTTTGTGGCTCATGAATGAGGGCACCAAAATTTCTCTGTTCTGTAGCTTTCTGCAATCTTTCTCCACTTAAATGATATTCAGCTCCTCCTCTTCTTGCCAAAGTGCATAACCTCACTTCCCACCCCCCCCACAATATATTTTAATCTGCCAAGTTGTTGTCCACGTACTTAACCTATCCCTTTGCAGACTCCGCCATCCTCACTACTTACCTATTTTTGTGTCATCCAGAAACTTGGCTATTGTACATTCACATTTCTCATCCAAGTCATTACTGTATATTGTAAATAATTGTGGCCCTAGCACTGAGGCCTGTAGCACTCCACTAACAGGTTGCCATCATGCAAATAACCCCTAATCCCAACTCTCTCATGTTAGCCATCTAATCCTCTATCCGACCAAGACGCTTCTCAATATAAGTCTGCTGGAGAAAGAAAATCGCAGTACAGTTGTGTAATTTACAAATTTAGACAGATTCTGGAATTTAACTTTATCATCTTTAAGCAAGATCATGAAACTTTTCTCAGCAAACGTAAATATAGATACTATCCATGGTTTGTTAAATACGATAGACTTTTCAGCCTTTTCTTGTTCCACACTTTGTCTTTCAAATGTGAGCTGTTAATAACCTAAATTATACCAGATTTCATAAATTCAGATATTATACTTTTGAGTTAAAGCATCAATTTAATTGCAGTTTTAGGTAATTGATTCATGTCTAATGAGACTTGGACTGAAAATCGCATTGGAACTTCATACTTAACATGGTGTTTGTATTTTTTCTGTTCATAAGGTTGGAAGGTATCAGAGATCCCAGATTTGAGAAGCTAATTGATTCATTCACTGTCACTAATCTTGTTTTTATGAATAACAGAGTGCTGGAGAAACACAGCAGGTCTGTCAGCATCTGTTCTCTCAACAGATGTGTTTCTCCAGCACTCTATTTGTTTTAGATTTCCAGTGTCTGCAGTCCTGTGTGTTTAGTTTCGTTAATGCTGTACAATATCAGTTTATCTTCTGCATTATATTGTTGAGAGAATTGCAGGCATGTTTCTGTGAGATACTTGCCAATGGCATTCAGTGCTTGGTTTTGAGACACAAGTAACCAAGCGATTTGTCCAATTTCTCTTTCTGCTCCCCCCTCCTCAATGGGCAATTGCATGGCTTTTTTTCTCTAAATCTAGTATTACAACTAAAATCAGTGGTTCTTAAATAGCAGAATCTTCAACACAACCTTGCTTCTTAATGACCTTTTTGTGATAAAATCTGAAGTTCTATGCGCTAATTGTTTGAAAATTCTAATCTCTTGAGAGTTTCAGTGAGAAAGATTGCCGAATATGTAATCGAAAGAATTGATATTTGTGAGCATTGGTTATTAGATGATTTTGAGGTTGTTTAAATTTCTTAGCTGTCTTAGATTAATTCTGAGAGTTTGCTCTGTGCAAATGTTATGCCAGAGATTTGGTCTTGGAACCAATCATCAGACTTTGTGGATTTGAGAGGGGTAAGCTGGAAATAAACACCTAGATCTTTCTCAAAGTTTTCATATTTCGGGGGAGAAAAGTTTTATCTTGGTACAATTCAGGCACTTAAATATTGGAAATTGCGCTGGGTCAAATGTTTTCTTTGCAGGATGTGATCAGTGGTGTCATTGTTTGTTTATTAATGACTTGGATAATGGCATAGGAAGTCATATATCCATATTTTCTGAAAAGACAAAATTTGACGGCATTGTAGGCATTATTGATAATATAAAATTACAAAGGAATATTGATAGACTAGGTGCATGGGCAAAACTGCTGCAGATGGCATTTACTGTAAGCAATTGTGAGGTTGTCCATTTTGGATCAATAAAGGATAGATTAGGGTACTTTCTAGATGGTACAACACTAAATACAGTGGATGTGCAAAGAGACTTGGGGGTTCAAATGCACAGACCTTTCAATGTCACAAGCAGGTACAGAAAATAATCAAGACAACGAATGAAACGTTGGACTTGATATCAAGAGAACTGGAGTACAAGGATGTAGAATTTATGCTGCAATTATTCAAGACCCTGCTTAGACCCGGCTTGGAGTACTGAGAGCAGATCTGGGCATCGCACCTTAGGAACGATATATTGGCCTTGGAGGGAATACAACGTAGGTTTATAAGAATGATACCGGGACTTGAGGGGTTAATTTACAAAGAGTTTACACAAATTTGGCGTATTTTCTCTAGAATTTAGAAGGTTAAAGAATGATCTGATCAAAGTTCTTAAGATATTAGCAGATAAAGATAGGGTAAATTTAAAATAAAACAACTTCCACTGGTTGGAAATACTAAATCTCGGGAGCATAGTCTAAAAGTTAGGGCCAGACTATTCAGCAGAGATGTTAGCAAGCACTTCTACACACAGGATGGTAAAGGTTTGGAATTCTCTTCTACAACCAGCAGTTGATGCTATGTCAGACATTATTTTAAATCTGAGATAGATAAGTTTTTGTTAAGCAAAAGTATTGAGGAATTTGGGCCAAAGGGAAGTATATACAATTAGGCCACAAATCAGCCATGATCTCATTAAATGGTACAACAGGCTGCTCCTGTTCCTATGAAAGGGATTCAATTGCAAGTAAGTTACTAATTTGTATGTAACTGGTTTTAAAAAAAAATATGTATTCAGCTGTGGATATGATTTTTGAATAATTTTGAATTGTCCACTTGTAAATATATTACATATCAGATATTTAGCACATGCAGTAAACCATTAACAATTTGTCTACATCTATTTTTCTCATCCCTTAATAATCACCAGTCAGAAACCAGAATTCACACTAATTTGAAGCTTCAAATTACCCAAATGTTTTCAATTTCCGTGCATTTAAGTGGTAGTTTCACTAATATTTAGCATGTGTATATCAGTAAAACATTCAATGTTTACTTTGACTTCAATTTTATTTCTTACAAGAATGTTGCTGTATGTTCTATCTTTACCATCAAGGTTGATGCTTGCATCTAAGATTAAACAAGAACAAAATGGTGAACAGGTTGTTATGACGTTGATACCAAATTCTGTGGCTAAGTGATTAGACTATTTAGTAAATGGAGGGAGGAGGGAACGGACTGATGTCTGTGGAAAGTGTCTTGTAAAATACAACTTGGTATGAAAATTAGTGTATTTGCATAATATTCCCTTATTGCCATTATTGTCTCAATCTTATTCTGTTAACTTTTGATGTGAACAAATTGGAATAGCAAAGGGTGATATTTGTTACTTTTGTTGTGTGTAGTGTCCAATGGTCATACGACATGCCTGCGCATGTTAATAGAGGCTGCAGGTGGCTTGGATGCAGTTGATGTGACAGATGGCAATGGACAGTAAGTAGACATAATTTTATTTTAAATGACTTTGTGGTAACACTTTGGAGCCATTTGGCTCTTGAAGAAATGTTTTAATAATATTCAACATAACTGTGATATCTCCTGTCTTCCTCCAAAACTTCCATTTCGCCCATTGAACCTGTGCTAGCTCCTTTGAAGAGTAATCCAATTCATCCTACTTCCCTGATCTTTCCCTGGATCTCTACAATTTTTTTTTCCTTTAGTACAGGTTTTTATTACAGTATATTCTTGCCAGAAGTTGAATTTTTGGGACTTCTTTTAGGCTAAAAGTTATGGGGTCACCTTTGCTATTTAAGAAGTTTAGCTTCAACTAAAAGGGAATTGGGAGGCCATTGCTGAGATGAAGGGAAACATCTAATCAGCACTGTCATTTGGGTACGTGTGTATGAACAATCCCAAATGTGGTGCCAGGTCCCAGGGCTTAATCGATCCATGGAGATAATTTTTTTTCCTTTAGTATAGTTTGAACTTTGACCTGGAAATGGAGCTTCCAGTCATTCAAGTAGCATGATACCCACTTCCATATTGTTCCACTCTCGCTGTGCCCATCAGGTGTTAGGTAAGTGTAATGACCACGCAACATGGTGTACCACCGAAATCGCATAGGCGCATCAAACTCAAGCCCACTCCCTGATAGGTTTTCATCTGGCTGTGCTTCAGCTTTCCTGCAGCCCAGGTGAGAACAATCCCCAGCTATCATGGGACTGTAATATGAAAACAAAATACTATACATATCAGAAATCTTTTTTTAAAAAAAACCATGCTTGCAAAACTCAGATCAGGAAGCATCTGTGGAGAGAATAATAGTTAACATTTTTGGGTCAATGACACAGTCATTGTAAAGGTTGCTGAGTTTTTCCAAGGTCTATGTACTTATTTCATGTAACTGTAAGCCTTTATTCCTAGAATCATTCTAGGAAATGTCTTCCTGTCCTTGCAAAACCTTTATTTAGATTATTCCGAAAGTATGGTACCCAGAATTGGATATAATACTTCAGCCAGAACTGAACTAATATTCAGCATAACCCTTGACATTATTTATTAACTCTGGGATCCAATATGCTTTATTACCTACTTGATTAATCTGTCCAGCTGTCTTAAAGGATTCGTGCACAAAGACCTCTGGTCTCTCTTCAACCCTCTTTTAAAAATTATACCATTTTTGCAAGTATTGTCTCTTCATTCTTCCTACCAAAACCAATCACTTCCAACTTTTCTGTTAAATTTCATATTTGTCCAACCATTTCACCAGCTGATATCTTCTTGTAATCAATTACTATTTTCCCTATGTTTACTACTCAAACAAGTTTGGTGTCATCTACAAATTCTGAAGTACAGCCCTGAATCTCCAGCTTCAAATCAGTAATGTATATCAGAAGTAGCAGTGGTGAGAGTACCTAATCTTGGGTAATTGCACTCTTTTTTTTTTTCTTGTAATCTGAAAAGAACGTTCACTACAACTTCCTTCCTATCTCGTTGATCCTTTATCCCCAAGGGTTCAATCTGTCAAGCATTTTGGCAAAGTACATATTGACAGCATCAACAGTGCTGCCTTTATTCATCATCTTCATTAAGTTCATTAAGCTCAAATCAAGTGGGCCAAACATGATTTGTCCTTAACAAATCTGCCTTGCTCTACTTTGTCAGTTCATATGTGTCCAGATGGTTGCTAATTCTCTATCCGATCTTTTCTAAAGATCAGTGGCATGCAAGCAGATGTCTGTAGCCATCTAGCAAAGGGTAAGGTAGTAATTAACCTGTTTTCTGCGCTTTGGATTGTGCTGTAAATAAAGCAGACAGGTCAGTATTCCAAACCCTGCGAACCAGTATGAATTTATAAATCCTCAGCAATTGAATTTGGTTGGATGTGGTGGATGAAACTTCGCAATTTGTAATGCAATCAAAATTCAATTCAATTCTCAGAAGTCATGTGTGCATCATGTCAAACTGCATACGCACAGGTAGCTCCAGGTCATTATTCCTGAATTGGGAACACTTACTTTTTTTTTCTAGATGTTCTTATCACTGAGACTAACTTGACTTGTAATTGCCAGATTTGTCCTTTTTCTTCGGAGCAAGGCGTGAAGGATTTGCAATCCTCTAGTTTTCTGGCACCATACCTTTTATCTAAGGAGGTTTGTAATATTATGACCAGCATACCCCTCAATTTCTGCCCTTATTTGCAACTGATGCACATTTCATCCAGATCTAGTGACCTATTCACTTCACGTATTACCAGCCTTTTTGGTACCGCTAATTATTTTTAACACATCGGTTATCACATCATTTGTCAAGTTTTGGTTACTAACTGTTTCTGTATATTAACTCTTCTGATGTACAGCTATAACTTAAAGTTTGTGCAATTACATATTAACTTGTTTAAAAAATCTTCACTAGGACACCAATGATGCTTGCAGTTGCTAATGGACACATCGATGCTGTCATTCTGTTACTTGAAAAAGGTGCAAATATAGATGCAGCAGATAAACGAGGCTGCACAGCCTTGCATCGTGGGGTGAGGCATGCATTCAAAAATTAAATGCAGAATACGTAAATTAAATATAACTATTTTTTAGAAAATGCACATACATTTGCAGACTTTTCAAATGTAAATCAACTCCAAATCTGAAGAGCTAAATGATATTTTAAGAGAAATTTAATTTCCCATCTTACTTCCTTATTGATATAATTTATTTTTTTGTAATAAAATTGTTTTAATTGGTTTGAATACCTGTTTTATATGGGAATATTTTTAAAGTCACTGGAAACATATTATTTGTTTCTCTGATGATTATTGTTATCAAATGTAAAATAATTAGCTTTTGAACAGTGAACGTTTCTGCTAGGGTAGCTCTAATATGTATTCCACTTCAGGGCAAGTTCCATAGTGGAACTGATCTTTGTTCCAGTAAATTTTAATATGTTCCATGTGGAACTGGGGTAGAGGTGGATTGTGGAAAGTGGACCTCGGAAAATAGTAGAAATTGCCATTGGGTTGGTATTCTGATTTCTTTTTCCCTCCTTCAGTTTTCCCAAGGGCAGGGTGAAAGTGAAGTATGAAATCTTGTGGCTAAGGTGACCATCCAATGAATCCAACTAAAACTGCAGTCAAAAGCTAACTCTCACTTGCCGTGCCTCTTTTCCAATGGTACATAGGTCACATTCTACATTAGTGCTTGGAAGGGCAGAGAAGGCAAGTGCACATTACGAAAACATGTGCATCTCGAAACTTGAAACCTATATTAATTCACAAGTATAAAGGTGGAAAGTGGCAAGCTTTAGGCTAGCTACCAATTCTTGGGAACTTCTATCAGTGTGCCTGAAAGAGGAGCAATTCTGTTGGCATGGTCTTTGGTGATCTGTATAACCAGGTCCATGCAGATGATGTGATGGATTCCATTACTTGCGCGTGCAATTTGTGCTGTAAATTGGTACACAGTGAACATTGTAACTTTTAGGCAGAAATTACTTCCAAGGGGTTTCAGTATTTAGTTCTGGTCAGCAATAAGGACTGGCTTCTTGCGATAGATCACTCAAAACAGTTCAAGGGTTACTCAGTACATCAGAGATTACAGGCAGTTGGATGAGGATAGAGACTGTATGCAAAAAATACTTTGTGAGCTGCTGAAATGGTAGCTGAACTAAATTTTCTAGAGACTCATTGAAAATTCGAGAACAGTTAGAAATTCGAGAACAGTTAGATTTGTCTGTGGTTTTAGAACATAGGATCATAGTCATACAACACAGAAACAGACCCTTTGATCCAACTCATCCATGTTGACCAGGCTTCCCAAATGGAAGCCTGCATTTGGCCCATAACTCTATAAACCTTTCCTATTCATGTTCCTGTCCAAATGTCTTTTAAATATTGTAACTGTATCTGCATCTACCACTTCCTCTGGCAGTTCATTCCATTAAAGCACACCCTATGTGTGAAAAAGTTGCCCATCGGGTTCCTTTTAGATCTTAAATCTCACCTTAAACCTGTGCCCCCGGCCTTGTTTTGAACACCGCAATGAGCTTTGCGTTGTCTCCTTTTTCCAAAATGATTTGCTTTTTCGTTAAGGATGGAATAAGCCATAGTTCTCCTTGACTTGATTTTTACCAAGAAATCACCCAACCCAGTAACATCCAAACAGTTCAATTTTCCAATTCTCATGATCCATAAAGATACATGCGCTCTGACATGCCTCTAACATTTGGGAAAATGAAATGTCATTTCGACTATGATTCATTACAGTGTTAGCATGACGCAAATAACAAAACACAAATAAAATTATATTTATTCATCTTCATTCACTCTTTACTTGGGTTTTATTTGATTTCTTGTCACCTTTTATAAATATTGAAGCTATTCAAGCATAGTTGAATTCTTGATAGTGTGCCTGCAGTTCTATCAACTTTTCCAGTGATATGCCCCAGTTGTTCAGTGCTGCAGAAAGCAGGTGTTGAAAGCCCACAAACAGTAATTGCTTTGTGCAACTGAACCAGATCGGTGCCCAGGAAAAACCCTCTATGGTGCAGTCATTGTGTTCCTACCCCTGGACCAAGAGGCCCAGGTTCAAGTCCCACCTGCTTCAGAGGTATGCAGTAATACCTGTGAATAGGTTGATTAGAAGAATAGGTTATTTTAAAAAAATCAGAGGGCAGTAATCACTTTGTGAAGCTAGCAGTTTGTGAAAAGCTGGAGTTGTGCCCGAGTGTAAGAGGTGGAGTGCAATTTCCAAGAATCCAGGGAAGGATAGTCGCAGGAAAGGAAGAAAGATGACCGGAATGTGAGCAGTTGGTGAGGTAGTCCGTGATGTAGTGGCTTTTGAAGGAGTTGTGAATCTAGGTCTTAAAAAGAAAAGTAATTGTAGTCACTTGTAAAGTTTTACTGAGATTTGATGGCCAATAGCCAATAATATCAGGGTGGTTGTTTGCCAAGAAATCCATGGGATCTGTTGTGACTGCAGTTGCTATTTGATATGATGCATGTGTTCACCACATACCTACTCCTATTTACTTAAGGTTAATTCTAGATGCTAAAATATAAATTGTGTGGATTGTATTACAATTCTAACATTGTACAGTAAAGTTTATTGTTTGTCCAAAATTGTGGAATTTTGTGCCTTATAGTCTTGCTGAGTATCTGGATCTGTCGCTTTGTTAACTTTTTTTTCTTTCTCAAATGGTTATTTCTTACAAAAATTTGGTGACTTGATCCAGGATCATCACAGTAGGGTTGGGGAACGGTTTGGAAAAGACAAGGCATTAGTACGTCGATTTGGGTAAAGACCATAGAGTGGGACAGGAAGGAACAGAGATATTTAATGGTAGTAGTACAATCAGGTAGATGAACTAATGGGACAAAAAGATCTAAATTGTTTAGATCTACTTACAGAGACCAAGGATTACATTACAGGGCAGCGAAGTTTGGGAAATAAATATTCTAAAGTACACACCATTTCAAAGATAGGCACAGTGGAAAAGGAGGAATGATAGCTCTGGAGTTAAGGATGATATTAGGGCACGACTTAGAAAGCATTTTGGCTCAAAAAGTCAGGAAGTAGAATCAGTATGGGTGGGGATTAGGAATATCAAAAGTCAGAAAGCACTGATGGAATAGTTACATGCCAAAAAGGAGAATACCCAGTGTGGTGATTGTAATGAGGTCAGCCCGGTGGACCTCATTGAATGAGTTCCCTGAATTGGGCTATTAACCTGGTCCAATCAGGGATCCATGGCTGACAGATATAATCAGGAGTGTCAGAGGTTCTGCTCACTCTTAAGAGCTAGCTCAGAGGAAGCTGGAACAGTGTCAAGTGCTATGCACACGTAAACAAAGGGTGACAGGATACTGGCCTCTGTGGAGTTCGTTCACCCACATGCTAAAATGTTAGCAAATTAACAGAATTAATATCAGCAGAGAAGAGCCACTGGAGAAACTTGAGGGACCAAAATCCAAAAAAATCCCTAGGAGTAGAAGGCCTACATCCTAGTTTCTAAAAACGGCACTGAGAGTGCTGCTATTGTCTCTTCAAAGACTGTTCTGTTATTTGTGCTTCCATATTTCATTCTGCCTGCTCTCCCTCACTGGACAGAAATCTATGAAGCAGGGTGTTATTCAGTTGGTTCTCTTTTAAGAGTATCTGAAAGACCTGTTACTCAAAAGGTTTAATTCCTGACCCAAAAATGGTCCCATAATAAATCAGTTAAAATTTTGCCCTTAGACTTTGTCTTCAGTCAGCACCACCGCATGAAGACAGGATGAGTTGTCTGTCTTGTGGCCTCATATCACTGTTACTTTAGGTATTTGCACCTGGTTTTGAAACTTCACAGTTGTGGTATTTATGAAAATACTGTAAGGTACTGGATTCACTACTGAGAGTGAGCCTTGCCGAGTCATTCTAGGAACATGTGTTTGCTTTGTTTTGGACTTCTATGGAAATACATAATTAAGATGTTGTTTTTTTATATATAGGTTGTTACCGGCCACGAAGAATGTGTGGAAACATTATTGGAACATGATGCATTTATTTTATGTCGTGATTCCAAAGGAAGGACCCCGTTGCATTTTGCAGCAGCTTGTGGTCATGCAACTTTATTGTGCAATTTATTGCCGTCAGCACTTTCTATAAGTTCCCTCACAAATCTAGTAGATAATTATGGCTATACACCATTGCACTGGGCTTGTTATAATGGTAAATAACTTCAAATATTTATAATAGTAAATGTGTACTTCAGCTTTTCATAAAACAATTCAATAATTTGGGAAACTATCTTATAATGCACAATATATTTTATCTGAAATAAAGATGATTAGGTGAAATTTAATTGTGCAGTATTTGTGTCTACTTCATTCTCCAAAAAATAATTCCTGTATGCTGGCTGTGTCGTCATATGGGACAAGAAAGAAAGGTTTAGGACTTTCCCAGAGGGATGAAGGAAGACATTGAAGAGACACTCTTCCTCAGCATCTCTAATTCTTCGTGATTGTCATTGAAAAGGCATTAGCCAAGTCCTAGGAACAATTTAGCTCTTCGTGTCCCAACATAAATTTCATGCAGCATAAGGAACATCCATAGGTAGAAAATAAATGGTTTGCCAAAATATTATAGTAGAAAAATGGAGTGTAATTAAATCAAGCTTTTAAATTGTGCTTTTTAGAATAAAATCTACTACTGAATCTCTCAGAATCTTGAATAATCAGGAAGTGATTTATAAGCTTGCTAGCTAATCTTGAGGTTCAAATCTTGAACTTCAAATCTTGAACTTCATGATTAGTTTCCAGCCTTTAATTCTCTTATGTCCATTATTTTATATGTTCTAAAGTAATAAAAATTACATGGAGGTATCGAAAATGTATGACTTAAAATTGATTTTATTAAGAATCCTTAATCACATTTTTGGGCGAAAGTGTCAAGTTCTTAAGGTACTGAAAGATGTCCTGCAACAGGTTTATCTGAAAATAGTTTGCATTATTTCACAGAGAAGATCATCAGTAAATACTGCATTTTGATTTTGGGAGAGCATTTTGTCGTACAGATTTTACAATTCAGAAATGTTTGTTTTGTTAGGTCATGAAACATGTTTGGAGGTCCTACTGGAACAGAAAGAATTTATCAAATTTGAGGGTGCTCCTTTTACTCCTTTGCACTGTGCAATGTAAGTTCAATTGTGAGGTAATTTATTCTCAGAAAAATGTTAATATTTGAATGTTTTCTGGAGAAAGTATATCCTATTTCAAAGCTAAATAGCAAATGTAACGAAATAATTTACTATCCAGTATCCTATAATGTTCTCATGTTAAAATAATCAACACCCATCGTTAAATCTTCAGCCAAGTCTACAATCCAATTAACAGCATATTCTAATGAACACATACATCTAGAGTGTGTTTGCTGCCTTAGTGAAGAGAATGGGCCAGAGAACTTAAGGCGGCAGAACAAGTTAAAGGGTCATTAGTTTGAAACCCGTATTCCACCACTGTGGAGTTCTGCTGAAACAACAGTCAGCAACACCATTATATGTTACAGACTAGATGAATTCGTGGATCGTTTCCTGCTTGTCTGTTATTTTGTGTATTGCTCAACCACTCTTGAACTTTTCAAATAAAATATGATCATAAACTTGTATTAGAGTGCATTAGAATTACACCTTTGCCAATTTCGTATTTTCATTCTTTTCACCTAACTGGGACAAACTGAATTGATGTTAAAATCGCGAATTCTGCGTTCATAAAAATCCTTACTTGAGGTTGAGTTTATATGCAGTAATTTTGAAATTCTGTAATCTAGAAACTAATTCTCAAAGTGTTAAATATCATGTAAAATTAATTTTTAGAAGTTTTATCATTTAGGCAAATGTTTTGCTGACCAGGCACTCATAATGTTGTCTTAAATGGGAGTTGTGCATGGAGACACTGCAGAATCTCCATCATAGGACACTCCAGAGGAATTGCTTGGAAGATTGAATTCTTCATTGGGAAATTTAACTATGTCTGGAACTTTCTGAAAGTCTTCATTTGAATCGGAGGCTTCAGGAGGATTCCAGTGAAATTCAATGAAATAGATACTGGGGGTAAAAGTTAGAGTATTAAATACTTAGTCTAATTCCTGAGTAACTATTCAACATACCCTGTACTTACCTACACCTCCCCTGACGAATGTTAGTTAAATCTCCCTGTTCTCTCTGTTTTATACATTGTTTTGTGAATGCATTTTTGTCTACTCTTCGTTATGTTTGTGAAGTCAAAGGGATCTATTACAGAACATCAAAGCAGCTTGATTTTGTATTTCTAATGGATTTGTATTTCTAACTTGTTTGGATTAGGCTATGTAATGGATTATTCTTTTGAAATTTTGTTTTCAATGAGTATTAGTCTGATGGTGAGATCTTCCAAGTTATCTGTTGGTTGTAAAATTTGATGATCAAGTAAATTTCAACAAAATACCATAGTACAAAACTGTCTGAAATTCACACTTTGATTCCAGAGTTGACAAAGTCATCAATTATCAGTTGTTTTAAAAATATTTGTTGCTGTCATTGGCTTTTAAACTGGAGAAGCTATTTGCTAGCAATGGCATCCTATATTTGAGCAAAAAGAAATTCTTAAACTGCGTTCCATGCATAAAGGAGATTTTAACTATTTAAAATTTGTGCAATTACAGACAAATGGAAATATATCGGTGCCAAAACATTAATGAGACATTTGGCACCATCTGTCTGTGTTGGTATTGTTCCTTGTTAAGTAATTTCCCCTCAATTGCTAGATCTAAAATCTAATTTCTGAGACTTTCAATCATTTTTCCTCCCTGACTTAAATCTCATAATTTTAATTTTATGTCTCTGGCCTTATTCTTGAATTCTCAATGACTGCATGCCATTTGTTTCTATTTACTCAGTCCCTTCTTTTTATAAGGATGATGTTGATCTTTAGATGTTTCTTGTTTCACATGATATGTGGCATAAATACAGTTGGTCAGCAAAATTTTATTCCAGAGAGCAGCATAAGGCACTGATTAAAATTGTTCAGCACCTGAATTTTGCAGTTTGCGGTTAAATACGCAGAATGTGAGTTCAGTAAATTATTACATGGCTGTAGTACTGAATTGTTTTAGCCTAACATCGACACTACATTGAAGTAGAGATAACAGTGTGGAGCTGGAGGAACACAGTCGGCCAGGTAGCATCAGAGGAGCAGGAACATTGACGTTTCGGGTCATGACCCTTCTTCAGAACACTTTTTTGAAGAAGGGTCCCGACCCAAAACATTAGCTTTCCTGCTCCTCTGATGCTGCCTGGCCTGCTGTGTTCCTCCAGCTCCACACCGTGTTATCTCTGACTCCAGCATCAGCAGTTCTTACTATCTCTACATTGAAGTAGTTTGCTTTTCAGTGACTTAAATATTATACATCTGTGCAATACAATTGTTACTTTTCAGATTTTCTTTTTCCTTCTGCTGTGCAGGCATGTGTAATTTTATTTTGCTGTTATTGTTGTTTGTAGAATGCCCTCTGATGGCAATTCAAAAATCGGTCTTTACAGATGAGGACATTCTTTCTAAAAATAAATTCACGAGTGTTGATAAATAAATCATCATTAATTCTGAATCACACAGAAAAGTATCTGATGCAATTGTAGAGTATGAGAAATGCTAATTCAGCTCAGATTTCATACTCACCTGTTGATCAAACTTGTACGGATCCACTGGCCACATTATTAATGGGGATGGGGGATGCAATGTGACTGAGAAGGACTAACAATTGCATTGAATGTGGGCTGCAGAGGTCTTGGTAGATTTCATGTCGGGACCTCGTTACAGCTCTTCTATTTCTTGCAGTTTTCAACTTTCCAGCAATGCCAAATTTAGGGGCAACCCTGCCAATTATGAAGGAGCGAGAGATCAGTACTTGCGGGGAGTGGTATAGTCAAGGTCAGCCCCAATTGTGGCATATACCAGACATAGGTATTTCAGAGTGCAGGTGCTTGTGATCACAGCAGTGGGAATAAACAAGTTTGTGATCATGATACAGAATGCCAGACATCCCTCTGAGCAATTGGGGAAGCATTCCAACTCCTCCTGGCCTATATAAACTGTTGTAAAATACTTGCCTTCAAGACATCCCTCCATAAAAGTAACAACAGGGATGTACATGTCCGGTTAGGGATACAATACCCACTTTAATTTGAAATAAAACAGATCTTGTTGCATATTTTGAAGTAAGGGAATTTAATATCAACACTACTGAACACTTGATTCAACAGAGATAACAAGGTGTAGAGCTGGATGAGCACAGCAGGCCAAGCAGCATCAGAGGAGCAGGAAATCAGGAAATGATTTTCTGAAGAAGGGTCTAGGCCCGAAACGTCAGCTTTCCTGCTCCTCTGATGCTGCTTGCCTTCTGTGTTCATCCAGCTGTACACCTTGTTATCTCAGATTCTCCAGCATCTGCAGTTCGTACTATCTCTGAACACTTGATTCGTTCATTTTTGTGAAGTACAAAATTTCCAAGTCATTTCAGCAGATATCTTCACTTTAATCCATGCCCCTAAAGGCCCTAATATACAAAGTCGAACAGTGAGACCTAGGGGTTCAGGTACGTAATTTTTTGAAAGTTGCGTCGCAAGTAGACAGGATTGTTAAGAAGAGAGATAACAAGGTGTAGAGCTGGATGAACACAGGCCAAGCAGCATCAGAGGAGCAGGAAGGCTGACGTTTCGGGCCTAGACCCTTCTTCAGAAATTGTTAAGAAGGCATTTAACACACTTGCCTTCATTACTCGGACCATTGAGTATAGGAGTTGGGATGTCATGTTGAGGTTCTACAGGATATTGGTGAGTCCACTTTTGTAGTATTGTGTACAGTTCTGGTCGCCTTGCTGTAGAAAGGATTTTATTAATTTGGAGAGGGTTCAAAAAAGATGTTGCTGAGCCTGGAGGGTTTGAGTTATATGGAGAGGCTGGCTAGGCTTGGACTTTTTTCATTGAAGCATAGGAGGTGACCTTATAGGAGGGGTATAAAATGAGGCCCCATTTTGACTCCCCCAGCTCTAGGTGCCACAATCTGGAGGGACAAAATTGTGTGGGGGGATAATTGTGGGGGTGAACAATTACTTGGGGCACAGGTTCCAATGTGCAGCAGGGTAGGGGAGTTTAAAAGAGATGTGCAAGGCATGTTTTTCATGCAAAGGGTGGTGAGTGCCTGGAACATACTGCCAGAAGAGGTGGTGGAAGCAGGCATAATAGCAGCGTTCAAGAAACACCTGGACAAATACATGAATAGGAAGGGAAGAGAAGGATACGGATCCTGTAAGTGGAGACAGTTTTAGTATAGAAGGGCAAAATATGTCAGCACAGGCTTGGAGGGCCAAAGGGCCTGTTCCTGTGCTGTTTTGCTCTTTGTTCATGAGGGGCATAGCTAAGGTGAATAGTCAAGTTCTTTTCCCTAGGGTAGAGAGTTAAAACCTGGGGGGGCATATTTTTAAGGTGAGAGGAGAAAGATTTCACAATGACCTGAGGGCTAATTTTTTTTCACACAGAAGGAGGTTTATATATGAAATGAACTGCCAGAGGAAGTGATATATGCAGGTACAGTTACTTAAAAGATACTTGGATAAGTACATGAATAGGAAAGGTTTCAAGGGAGATATGGGCCAATCCCAGGCAAGTGGGACTGATTTAGTTTGGGAAACTTGGTCAGCATGGACGAGTTAGATGGAAGGGTCTGTTTCTATGCTGTGTGATTCTATGAATAATTAATAATGAAATCATTCTGAATTCATTTCATTTCTGAAAATTTCCAAAAATGTTCTTTTTCAAAGAGTGAATTTGGCCCCACAGCCGCATATTTTCTGCATTCCATGCTTGTTCTTCATTCTGTCTCGCTCAAATGTATGTTGTGTAGTTCTTCATCTCTAACCTGGCTCATTCTGAAGGCTGCGCTTCATCTTGACAGTCTCTGTGCTACATTGAATTGACTGATTGATTGGCAACTGGTATTTACTGGGTTATTCTCTCATGATTGCAGATACATTTTGTCCTGAGTTGCTAATTCACCAAATTAACATGACCGTATTTAATTCCAATCTTACTTTGAGCAGGAACATCTTGCATTTATGTTTTCTTTATTATGCTGTTGAATATTGAAACTGATCAAATAGGTGCAGAAGACATAAGTTAGTGAAAATATCATCTTGGAATCTCGTCAGGAAGGAATTTTTCACTCTCCTGTTTGGAGTATCTTGTCAACTGCAGTAGAAATGCAAATGTTAAGGATTTTCAAAATATAGTTGAATGCCGTTATGAACACTAGAGTGTGAGTGAAATGAGATTTGATAGACCAAGAGCTTTTGCTGTTCCAGTATAACCCAACAGTTTTCCTTTGCTTACAGAATAAATGACCATGAAAATTGTGCAGAAATGTTAATTGAAGCTTTAGGTGCTAGAGTTGTTGATTCCAGAGATGCCCAAGGAAGGTATGAGAAACTTTTTTTTCAATCATTGCACAACCCTATTTGAAAAAAAAAAATCAGTGTTTCAAAAATCAGTTAAATTTTTGCTTGAGATGTTAAAATCAAACTGAAACTTAATATGTTGCTTGAAAGCTGTCACATTACATCATACAGTTGGAACTCCATTCCTCTGAATTATTCTGGAATTGTTTTGTGATCTCGACAGTTAAGATTATAAAGGTACAGACTTCTGGAAGAAAAGAGAGCTTCACTTGGTGAATGTTTCATACCTTATACAAATTTTGCTTCTTCCATATAAATATGACTTAAAATTGATATTATTCATGATCTTTATTTCTTGCCATTATGCTGTTCAGCTATATAATTTTCTTTTGGTAAAATGGAATATTTTTGAATATTGCTTTTGAAGTTCTGATTTGTACTGTAACTGCGTCCTGGTATTTCCAAGCATAGATCTAAAGCTCTGAAAAAAGCTTTTGAGATGGGAACTGGGTGGCATTAATCCTGTACCTCTGGATTTTGATGCTGGTGCAGTCCAGCCCAATGGGACAATATCTTCTGTTTTCTAGCAAGAGTCATTTCTAAAATGAGTTTGAGTTTCAGTCAAGTTCTTTGTGGGCATTGGCATTGTGGGCGTTGTAACAAATTAGCTATCTCAAGCAGCGAAGCCTTTGGTTGGTTGATGTTGCCGATGAGAAAAACATTGTCACCCTGTTGCAGTAAGTGTTACTACTTGGGTAAGTTTTCAACCGAGGCATCTTGTAGGTCCAGAGTCGAAGGAGTTTTATATTACGTAGATTCGAATTGGTTAACACTGACATTATGTACCTTAAGTTATAAACCTGTAATAGTGACTGCCTTTAAGTGAAATGGACAATTGTGAGGAAGAAGATGGATCGATTACAGATTGAGAAGTGAACTACAAATGGTGTCAATTTTCAGCCTTCGGTCCAGGCAAAGAACATCCAAAATGTTAACTGGCATATATGATTGGATATGATGGAGTCTAACTGGCACTGTTTCTGTGTCATTTCAATAAATTATTTTGTGCATTGGTACTTTGAGTCAAATAATTTGGTCTGGTATTGTATTTTTAGAACTCCTCTTCACGCAGCTGCTTTTACAGACCATGTGGAGTGTTTGCAATTGCTGTTAAGTCATGGTGCACAAGTGAACCCTGTTGATAGGTCAGGGAAAACTCCATTAATGATGGCAGCTGAAAATGGACAATGTGGAGCTGTAGGTATGTAACCTTGAATTTTGTTCGCTTCCCAAAATGGTTTCACTGGTACAGCAGAAAATAAAGTTATTCTTGCCTTCTCTAAAAACACTTGTAGCCAGATATTTCCTTGAGTAGTCAAGACTTACAATTATGTTACACGGTCCAAACAAGTTGCAGGTTTCTGCCAAGTCAAGCCACATTAATTAGTACACACGAGGTCAGTGTCTTATTTCATATTAAGCTTTACCTCTGTCTTTTGATAAGACAAAATTTTGACAAAATGTGTAAGATTTTATTTCAAATCAAGTATGTTATACTACCCACTGTTGTCATTTTCAAACTACTGTTTGTTATCCTATTACTGAATGCATTATTTTTGTGATTAATTCCAGTTGCTTTATAATGTGATGTGGATTTTTTTCTTTTGATCTCATAATGTGATGTGTTGTGAACTGAAGGTAAAATGTTCCCTTGTTTCTTAGCTCTGGCCAATCAAATTCCACATATTGTTCTTTCAATCTAAGGTCTTCCATTACTAATGTACTGACTCCGTTTCTTGCCATCAGTGCAACTTCAGCTGTTTCCTTCTCATTTGTCCTTTGAGCATCAAATATCCTTAAATATTCATGTAGCCATTTCTGTAATGGTAATTACATCAAAGAAAGATAGAAACAGAAAATAAGAACACGAGTAGGCCATTTGACCATTCAAGGCTACTCGATTCAATATGATCATGGCTATTCATCCAACAATACCATGTTTCCTGTTTCACCCTGTTATCCTTTGATTTATTAACCCTAAAATCTTTATCTATAATCCTCCTTGTAAAGATTAAATGTTTTAGCCTCAACCACTTTGTCGGTGATTTCCACAAGTTCACCGCTGTATGAAGAAAATTATCGTTGTCATAGTCCTAAATGTATACTCCAGGTCCTTAGACCATAACTCCTGTTTCTCGACTCTCTGGTTATTGGGAACATCCTGAGCTTACCCTGTCTAGTCCTGTAAGAATTTTATAGGTTCGTGCCTTTAGACCGTCACATTGAGAATGCTGCATGTAGTCAGATAGCGTGTCTATTTGACATCATTCTGCCTTCAAAGCATAAGCCTCATATTTGTAATAGGACCCATCCCTTGTTTTTGTTGGATAGAAATAGTATTCAAGGGTATGGGGCAAAAGGCAGGCAATTGGCACTAGGTGATGATGATCATTTATAGAGCTGGTGAAGGCACGATGCGCTGAATGACTGTCTTTTGCACCACAAAGGTAGAATGAGGTGACTTTCACATAGTTCTTTTGGTTTTTGACTATTATGTCACATTATTGTCAATCTTGATCCACAATTTGGTAGCTGATCAGTTAAACCTGAGTTTTCGCTCGTGATACAAGTACTTTTCAAAGTGTTTGAGTGTTAGTTTTTTTTCCCCACTCTCGAGCAGAGAGGGCTGGACCTGTCTTAGATCTCTAAGAAGCCTAAAAACTGATTGCAACTGTTCTGTGACAAACCACAATTTACCTATCGAAATTGTTGCTCGGCTTTTTTTTAAACCCAAAGGTATATGATACAAGCATGTCTCTTAAAAGTGTCAAATACAGTTTCTATGAATGTTACATGATCCTGTGTAACAAGTAAATGCACATCACACAGTTCCATGCTTCTTTTGAATTCATTTTTTAAAAAAACTAATTCATTCCTTGCAACACAGCAGTGCCCAAAATTCCATTTTGCAGCTTATATTTCCAAAAAAAAGATGCAGGTTGTCTTTACGACGCATTCGTGGCTGAGTTAGATTTTCAATCTTCAAGGAAGTCTAGGATTAAGGGGAATAAGCACGAGAGAAAGTGGTGTTAAGGCCAAGAGGCCAAATAGTGTACTTCTCCTGTTTCTTATATTCTCCTGGAAACAGCCATAATGGTGTTGTCACTGGCTGTCCAGCTGGCAAGTGAGGCTGCTGCCTCAGCCACTGACTCCAACCTATTGCTTCTGATCAAACAGTCACAATTTCTCTTCAAGGAAAATACCATTGTAAACACCATCTATGGCATGTATTCTTTAGAGCACCTCCTGTGTGCATGTACTCTTTTTAAAACAAAACTCTCAATGTCCATTGTCTATACTAATTAGTGACTAGTGAACCAAGCAATTAGTGGGGCATCTGACAAATGTGTTTTTAATATTGTCTATTATTGTAATGCGTGTAACAAATTTTTGGTTGACACTGAATCCAAAAAAAGTCATACAGGTCTTGATTTCTCTGATTACCAGTTCTATTGACTTAAGTAGCTTGAATTTTAATGTGAAAATTATGCTGCAAATGGACTTTGATCACTCCTTTCCAAATCAGTTTTTAAAAATAATTTTCCATTTCAGAGATCTTGGTAAACAGTGCAAATGCTGACTTAACTTCCAAAGACACCAACAAGAATACAGCTCTTCACTTGGCATGTAGCAAAGTAAGCACCAGAAAATCTTACTTGACACTATATAGAAACTTTATTGTGGATTCCATCTGGAATATTTAGTTTTCTGAGGTGGAAAACCACCATAAAACTTCCAAGTGAATTATTTTCTTCCTAAGCCCTGTGTATTAACATCTACAATTTATTCTCATCACTATGATTCATGCTATTTTAAACTAATCTCTTTGCACTCCACAAATTATATTTCTGTGGCCCCAGTGTAATAGCATTCATTATATTGCAGATTATTTGGCCATCTCTATTATTGTTGATACTGTATTTTTCAATCATTCTTAAGTGGACACTTCTGTGATGCCTAAGGAAGAACAGTGGTGGATACTTTTGTTAGTCTGATCTCTGAAATATGCTTCCAATGGGATGTTTATGTTCAGTTTAGCTAGCTTGGGGAGATGGAGTATAAAAGTAAGGAAATATACAGATTTTTAGTGAGTGCACACCAAGAGTACTATTTGCAGTTTAAGGAGGGACAGACTTTCATTGGAGGCAGTTTAGAGAAGGTGTACTAGATTAATTCCTCAGATGAAAGGATTTTCTCAATGGTTAGCACTGCTGCCTCTCAATGCCAGGGACCCGGGTTCGATTCCAGCCTTGGGCGACTGTCTTTTTGGAGTCAGAGTCATAGAAATGTACAGTACAAAAACAGACCTTTTGGTCCAACTCACCCATGCCAACCAGATATCCCAAACTGATCTAGTCCTATTTGCCAACATTCGGCCCATATCCCTCTAAATCCTTTCAATTCATATACTCATCCAGATGTCTTTTAAATGTTGTTATTGTACCAGCCTTCTCCACTTCCTCTAGCAGCTCATTCTATACATGCACCACCCTCTGCGTGAAAAAATTGCCCCTCCAGCCCTTTTTAAATCTTTCCCCTCTCACCTTAAACATGAAGTTTGCACATTCTCCCTGTGTCTTGTGATTTCCTCCTGGTGCTCTGGTTTCTTTCCATAGTCCAAAGATGTGTGGGTTAAGTGAATTGGTCATGCCAAACTGTCTTGTAGTGTCCTAGGATGTGCAGGCTAGGTGGATTAGTGGGATTACGGGGATAGGGTCAGGAACTAGATCTAGGTGGGAAGCTGTTCAGAAGGTCGGTGCAGACTTGATGGGCTGAATGGCCATTTTCATCAGGTTCGACTTATTCTTCTAAACTCCAAAGAGGATGAGAGATGACCTTAATGGATCACAGAAGATGCTGAAAGGGCTTGACAAGCTAGATCCTGTGAGGATGTCCCTTCTCATGAAGGAAGTGGAAAAGTTACATAAGATCATAATAGAATGCAATCCAAAAGAGGAATGTGATTCAATAATTTTAAACCTATGAGCACTAGAGCTAAATTGCCATCTTGGGCCTAATGTACAGATTCATTCCACCACCTAAATTTGCATAAACTGTGAAAGTGCTGGCAAATCCCAGCAGAACCGGAAACATCCTGTGGAGTAAGAAATGGAGTTCATGTTTTGAGTAACATAACAGTTCTCTAGAACCCATTAAGAGTTCCAAAAAAGAGTCGTGAGATTCTGTCAAATCTTTCTCTCCACAAAGGCTGCCAGACCTTGTGTTTCTCCAGTTTCTTTCACATCTTCAGCATCCACGGTATTTTGCTTTTATTTAAGAATTCACGTAACTATTGTTAACTATCAGAAACAGAGCCAACCTGTCACGTTACTCTTATGAAGTAATTCTATCAAATCTCAGTACATATGAGGCCTAAATTTGTGTCTGCAACAAACTAAAGCAAATGACACTACCAGGAGCATTCTGTGACGAGTCCCAGTTTTGTGTCTGTGAAGAGTTATATTCAATGAAACATGTTCTGGATAAACTGTACACAGCTGCAATTAATTCAAATATCTTTGGTCTGCGCAAAAATGATTTTTAATAAATTGCTGACATATCTAGCAGTATATCTTTATTTTACTGTGGAATATCATAGCTTCGTCTTATCTTCAATATTCTTATCCTTGCATATTTCTTCTAAATATGTTCATTCATGCTGTGATATGAATTGTAGGACAATTGCATTCTGCAGTTTCTCACCCAAAATGTCCTTTATTCATATGCCTGAATTTGAACAGACAGTTGTGGGAGTGAGTTTGACTTTGGCTGAATTATGGTCAAGTCTAATCTTTTCCTGTCCAATTTCCAAACACAATTGCTAGCCAGGGTCATTATTGAGAAAGTATGATGGAAATCTATCTGACTTTGTGCTTTCCAAGACCAGGAGTGCTGATGCCATGCCCACAAATGCTGCCCTGTCAAAAATCAGCTGATTCACCACATATTGATCCTAGAACTTTCTGGTGCTAAATATTACAGCCTTTGGGAGCATATTTAATGTCTTAATTAAATGCCACACCTGTAGGAAATAAAATGTTAAATGTAATGTGATGGATACAGGAAATAACTTGTTAGCCGGACCGTGTTAAATCAGATTTTGTTTTAGTGTTTGGTGGAAGTTCAAAGCTTTTGATTCAGTTGCAATGGGAACTGCAGAGTAAGAACTGAACGCCTGGAACTGAAATCTATTAGGGATGTGGAACAAGAAATGACGCAGATACAGTTCAAAACCAACAAATAAGTGGAAAAAAACTTTATTAAGTGAATAAAGCTTAAATGCATGATTATGGTGTATGCAGAGTACGTATAGCTTAATGTTATGAATTGTGTTCGTTTCTGGCAGGGTCATGAAAAATGTGCCTTGTTCATTCTTGAGAAGATGGATGGTGCAAGCCTTATTAATGCAACAAACAATGCATTGCAAACGTAAGTCATAATATTTCAGTAAATCTCTTTTTTTAAAAAGATTTCAAAATGATTGTTTTGGAGAGAAGGTATTTTGTGGGGTCTGAGGGAAGAGGGTGATTTTCAGAATGCAGACAAATGCTAAAGCATGTCGGAAATCTTTCACGTTAGCTAAAGTTAACACATGAAGTGGCAATCTTACAGGTATTTTTACTCAATCTGTTGAGGGATGTTATGGCACACCTATGGAGCAAGTGCAAATTGAATCTGGGCCTTCAGACCCAGAGGTAGAGACACTACCACTGTGCCACAAGAGCAAGAAATGCCAAGGTTTAGACTCGTTATGAAGATTTGCACAACACAGTTATGCGGATTTTCCACTGGCTAGCATAGATTGGGGTTGCGCTTTGGGACCCTGCAGAAACCCCTTCATAGCAGACTCTGAAGAAGTTGCCTGGGAAATTTTATGGCGCTTTGGTAATTCTTCAATGTCTAGACCCCTCTGAAAGGTGCCATAAAATCGGAGACTTCGAATGGTTCTGCTGAAGTAAAGTAAAATAATTACTCAGGAAACGCTGTAGTATTAAATACATAGTCTAAATCCTGAATAACCATTAATCTGACCCCTTACTTGCTTCACCTGATCCCATCTACATAATCTTTACGTCCCCTTGACCCTTGCATGATATTCCCAGCACCTGTCCCCCACCTATTTATCCTCAGAATTGAAAACCACCAATTTGCCGCTGCCCCCAACCTCCTAGGATTCCCCCTCTAAACTTCTCAGCCTCTCTTCCCTCCTGTAATATATTTCTTACTTCTTAAAATCCAAGCAAATATTTTTATCTAATCCAAAGACCAATTTTATTTGACTATATTCCTATGAACCACTTTGGGACATTTTCCTACATTGAAGGTACTGTGTACATTTAAGCTGCTGTTTGTTAATTTTCTGGTAAATGAATTTCTCACTTCCAGAACATTATTGCCTTTTAAAAATTTTTTTTTTCAGTTTTCATCAGGCCCATTGTAAATATGGGGATTGTGGATGAGGTGAAAAACAAAATCATAATGCAGTGATAATACGGATCTGAAAGCTGCAGTTTAAACAAAAAAATGGTTTTCAGGATGTGGTGTTAATGACTCAGCCAGCATTTCATGTCCATCTATAGTTCCCCCAAAAAGGTGGTGAAGACCCACCTCCTTGAACTGTTAACAGTTTGTCTGGTGAAGTCATATCCATATTGCTGTTTTCTGGAGAATCTCAGGACATCGACACATGGATGAAGAAGGAATGGTGAAATAGATTCAAATCAGGATAGTGGGTGGAGAGGGAACATGGATAGTGTTAGTGTTACTATGCAGTAGCTGCCATTATCCTTCTCTGAGGTGGAGGTTATAATATTTTGAATGGCTGAAGAAGCCTTGAAGAATCCTGGGAATGGTATGCAATACAATCAATGAAGCTGGTAGTGAAGAAGGCCAATGTTTAGAGTGGTGTATAAAGTACTGATTGAGTGAACTACTTTGACCTGAATGGTGCTGAGCTTGAATGTTGTTGCCTGCGAATACCACGAGCTGTAAGCTATCCTCCAACTTGCACACAATTCTGACTTGGAACTATGTTACATCTCCTTTGTTATCCTTTGCTGAGTCAAAATCCTGGAACCACCTCCCAAACAGCACTGCAGGTGTACTTAGCCATCACGTTGACTGTGATGGTTCAAGAATGTGACTCTCATTCAATTTCTTGAGGGTAATTCAGGAAGATCAATAAATATTGGCCTGACCGGAAATGCCAGATCTTCAAAAATTTATGAAATAAAGTTGAAGAGAATTTTGCAAGTTCACTATGTGGATGCCATGTACCGATTCAGTGTTTAGGTCAGAGCTGAAAGATCCTTCTAGATTGGTTGATTGCAGATTAGGTAGATTAGCCATGGGAAATGCAGGGTTACAGAGATAGAGTAGGGGGTAGGTCTGGGTGGGATGCTCTTCAGAGGGTCAGTGTGACTCAATGGGCCGAATGGCCTGCTTCGGCACTGTAGGGATTCTATGATTTTTCTGTCTTAACTATTCAACCATAATGATGCAACCAACGCTGTCAGCTAGGCTAGGTAGGTGTGCCAGGTTCTTTTCCCCGAAGGACTTTAATGTACTGAGATTTTTATGATCTAACAGTTACTTATTTACTTTTACTGTCACCAGTTCTTTTTAAAAAAAAAAAAACATTTTCTTTAAACTGAATTCAAAACTAATGTCCCCTGGATTTTTAAATCAGGTGTCTGCTTTGCAGGTATGTAACCTTGATGCTACTGTTCTGGTAAATCAACAACAATTTTTGATTATTATAGTGCTGGATTTTCATCCCCACGAGAGCTTGTTTTAGCATATTAAGCTAGTTTCCCCATTTCTGTTTGGCTTCAGGTTGTTTTTGCAGAGGCAAGATTATGACCACCGGGCTACCTGTATACATGAAGCTCATTAAGAGCTTAATTAAGGTCAAATGAAAGAGACTGAAATTTTCCAGTCAGTTTTCAATTTGCTGTCTTGTGTTGCAATAGTTGTGTCCCTGCCTGTGAACCAGGAGGCCCATGTTTAAATCCCACCTACTTCAGAGATGGATTGTAACATCTCTCAGCAGGTTGTTTAGAAGAATATCAATTCCCTGCATCAGGCACCAATATACCACACCTGAGGTGGACACCCAGCAAAAGCGCACGGTCCAGCATTCCAACCACATGTAGAGACCCTCCTTGCCTGTCTGGCTGAAAGAGCAGGTGTCCTGGCAGTTAAGTTGCTTTTATAATTAAAGTCTTAAAGTCAGACAGAAGACATCTCCTTGTTGAAGCACCCTCTCCATTGTCCATATTTTATGATAGCTGCTATGATACCAGCTGATGGCAATATAGGACTGGTCAGATCCTGGAATGAAAACTGGTTTCAGAGATCATATACTTAATGTCTTTCAGTTACATAATGTGACAGTTAGTCGGATGCATTCATATGAGGCTGCAGATTGCCTTTAAAAATAAAACATAAGTTTATTGCACCAAAAAAAATCAAGTCCAAAAATGTGCAGGTTTGGTGGATTGGTCGTGCTAAATTGTCCATGGTGTCCAGGGCTCTCTATGTTAGATGGATTAGCCATGGGATATGCAGTGTTTGGGGAGGTGGGGAGCACCGGGGTGGAATCTTGGTCGGATGCTCTTCTGAGGGTTGTTGTGGACTCGACGGGCCAAATGGCCTGCTTCCATACTGTAGAGATTCTCTGATTCTAAGTGAGCTCTTGTGCAGTGGTGATGTCCCTAGCCCTCATCCAGGAGGCCTGGATTCAAATCCCACCTGCTCCAAAGGTGTGTAATATCATCTCTGAACAGGTTGATTAGAAAATATCCATGTATTAATACAAAGTTTCAATCTGTTTACCAACACCATCATAAAGACCGAAACCCAACGAAATATCATTCCCATCTCATCACTTTAAAATCTTTACTTAACTGATGCTTTCCAGTTTCTTTTCCTTGGACTGTCGAGACCTTTTTTTCACAATATTTTTTTGAAGCAGCCAGTATGAGCATTATAATTTTGACCAGTTATATTTGCTCAGTTCTAACAATTTGAAGATTTCTATCCGAGCTCTCCCAGCTTGGAAACTCGAGACTAGAAGCTCTTTCAGCTAGAGTGACTGACTACCCTGAACTGAACTCGGTTCTCCTACTCGGAGAAAAATTGTTCTCCTCTGGACTGAAGTCTGGATTCTTCTGAACAGAGATCGTGAACCTTTTGTTTTGAAGTCAAAACTAAATAAATTACCTTTAATGTGTTCAGTTTATCTGTCATAATATCACCAGGGGTTCTCCAAGGTGCTTGACTGTTCTATACACCTTAAAAATGACATATTTAGGTCACCGACAAGTGGCTTTCCAACTTTTTTTTTTTCATAGGATCATCATAGAATCCCTACAGTGTGGAAACAAGCCCTTCGGCCCAACAAGTCCACACTGACTCTCAGAGCATCCCAGCCAGACCCATCTCCCTATAACCCACCTAATCTACACATCCCTCAACACTGGGCAATTTTTCATGGCCAATCCACCTAGCCTGCACATTTTTGGACTGTGGGAGGAAACCGGAGGAAACCCACGCAGACACTGGGAGAATGTGCAAACTGCACACAGACAGTCGCCCAAGGGTGGAATCAAACCTGGATCCCTGGCGCTGTGAGGCAACAGTGCTAACCACTGAGCCACCGTGCCACCCCAAATTTTTTAATTGCTTCACAGAATTGACCAAAAGCCAAGTCCCCAAAATGGTATCAAAATATATGTTTATCACACAGCTAGCTGCTCTGAAACACAGTAAGGTTTCATCTTGGCTGCGTATCTTTGAGACCCTACCCAGCTTGATTAGACAGAATACCTGTCTCCATGCTAATTAAGT